GGAGGGGGAGGGAGGAAGAGGGAGGAGGAGGAAGAAGGGGGAAGGAGGAGGAGGAGGACTAGAAAAAGAAGAAAAAGAAGGAGAAGATGGTGATGATGAGGAGGATGAAGAAGAAAGCCTCAAGAGCGAAGTGGAGCCGCGAGGAGACCAGACGACGCTTCTAGAGCACCCTCTCGAAGGAGTCGCTGCCGGTGATCCTGTACCTGTTCTTCTTGTAGGTCATGAGGGTCTTGTTGCGCACCTCCCTCACCGCCGTGAACAGCGCCTCCACGACGGGATTGGTGGCGTGGATTCCCGCCAGCGCCGCCATGTTCCTCGTGTATTCCCACTGTAGGACGCTCATGTTGTGGAAGTGGCGGGCCTCCACACCCTGAGATAGCCGCTCCTCCACCTCGCGCTCCACCTCCGCCTTCATCTCCGCCGCCGACGGCAGCGCCAGCTTCCCCGTCAGCACCTCCATGAAGAAGCGGACCTGCGGACAAGGAAGATAAAGATAGAATTTGATGCGGATGAAAGGAAGCGGAAGCGAGGAAGATGCAAACTCAGATTAATAAAATACAGACGTAAACAGAGCAATATCCTGCCCACAATGTACATGCGAGTACACAAACACATGCATATATATACATATATATATATATATATATATATATATATATATATATATATATATATATATATATATATATATATATATAAACCCGTATGTTACATCCACACGTTGAGGAGATAAGTAGATAGATAGCTCGATTGGTAGAGATAGAGAGAGATAGAGAGATAGATAAATAGATAGATAGATAGAGAGAGCAGACAAAGTTGAATCTCTAAAATAATTTCACATTAGTTCAAAAAGAAATCTCTGTTGATAATGGTGATTATATCTCGTGTTTCTTTTTACCTTTTCACATTTAAGTATAACTCAAATCAGCCCCCCTCTTTTCGCGACTAAGCTCACACACCAGTGAGGGGCATACCTGGAAGTCGAACATCGGGAAGGGGCATATCTGGACGGGTATGCCGAGGAAGGCCATGCTGGGGAAGTCGCAGTTAATCATGTGTTTGTAGAGGGGCTTCACCTGGTTGCCTTCCACGCGCACTCCGCACTCCGGGTCCAGGAACGGGAAGGTGTACTCGTACCCTGGGGAGGGAGAGGGGCTTTTGCTGAGTGGCTGGCGGTTCTCGTTATCAAGTAATCCAGAAGAAGTGTTAGCTAATTTTCTTTTTTTATCCTTTTTTCAAAGAAAAAGATGTAGGATGTGTCAGTAAGCTCAGAAAGACTCCGCGAGCATCCCTCACCCGTGCAGTAAAGGATAATGTCGGCCTTAACAGAGGACCCGTCACTGAGGATGAACCCGTCCTCGGTGGCTGCCGTTGCCACTGCCGCCTGCCGCATGTTGGAAGGCAGCTCCGAGGACACGGGCTTGGGCAGTCGATGGGACAAAATGACCTGAAAATTAAGCAGATATGAATCTGTATCCATGAAACTTTAGACAGAAACAATGCATATACACATTCAAACGGAGTATTATTCATAAGCAATATAAAGTTCGCCTTACCTCTTTCGCCTCCGTCGCCAGCTCGATCGCGATGTCGAGGCCGGACGCCCCTCCGCCGAGGACCAGCACGGAGGCCCCCCGGAAGGAAGAGGGCTCGCGGTAGTCGTGGCTGTGAATCTGGCGGCCGCTGTACCTCTCGATCCCCGGCAACTTGGGCAATTTGGGAACCGAATAGTGGCTGAAGGGCCAAAGTCAAGAAGTTAGACATAATGAAGGTGTAACACGTGTCGTTTCGAAATTGAAAAGAAAAACAAATCGTCTTGCAAGGAGACCCACCCGTTGCAGATAAAGACGGCGTCACAAATCGTGGTCAAGGAAGTGTTTTTCTTGAGGTCCCTGGCGGTGATGGCCCAGCTGACGCCTCCCTCCGCGTTCCTGACGGGCGAGACCTGCTCCACCAGGTGCTCGTGCTGGGGAGGGAAAGGAGATCAGACAGTCGCTGGAGACAGTCGGTTCCTCCAACTGAAACAACTCTCACAGCGGACCCCGGGGCATCACTGCATTACGCCGACCACCTTCTACCCCAGCCGCTTCACCTCCTCTCTTTCCTGTTTCTCGAGCTCACCTGCGCTAAGATAATGACACGTATTCATTAAGGAAAAACATTCGACAACCTCAGCTTACCTGAACAAGCGCGGCACTCCAATACTGCTGTAACATATGTTCTGGTTGCAAACAAAAATACCGAGGATCAGCCACTGGTTTCGAGGGACACCCAATAAAATCGTTTAACCTTCAACCTGGAGGGATATACAGTAGTCGGGGATCAGTTTATGGTCATTCTAATAAACGTTTATAAACATCAACATAACATGGGCCAAGATCACTGGATGGGGCTTCGAATGGTATCGATATAAACCACACAAAAATTTCGAAGCTGATTTTTTGTCGGGTTCAGTCTCAGGGTGTCACCTGGTATTGCGTCTTCCTGGAGAAATATAGTGTTTTGTCTTTAAACAGATAACTATAAAGACAGAGATAATGAGATAAATAGGTAGATAGACAGTTAAACACAATATATATATATATATATATATATATATATATATATATATATATATATATACATATATATATATATATATATATATATATATATATATATATATACACATACATATATATGTGTGTGGCTATATATATATATATATATATATATATATTATATATATATATATATATATATATATATATATATATATATA